TTGACATCGCTTGAAATGCAACCTGGAGCCAAATTGCGGCGCATATCTAGGGGTCTCTATTTTGCAGCCACACGCCTCCACGCAGCGTTTTAGACTTCGAATCCTTCGCAGGACGAGGTCAAATGCTGGACGGACGAGTGCTAGAAGCCTCTCAGGTAGAATATAAGCCATTTGGGAATCTCCCTCTAAAGAGAGAGCCGGGTGGCCGGACCACGCTGGTCATCAGCCACAGCAAGCGCATGGCCGTCAACGCAGTGGCGAACCGGGCCCTGGCGCCGGAGGCCTCAAAGCTCCTAGAGCTGGAGACACACGTCATCCACATAGATTTGGGGTGTTGCCAAACAACCAATGGGTGTTGCCAAACCCAAAACAGCCCGCAGAGCATGAGGGTGTGGTCGGGGCTGCGCCTCATCGGGGCCGGCGGAAAGACACCCAAGGGCGTCTTTGTGGCCGTGGCGGAAGTGGAGCCGGACGGAGTAAGGCTGGACAAGCATGCGGCTGAAGAACCAGGAGCTGCTGCGGGCCACCCGGCCGAGCCACGCGGTGACCTACGCCAGCTGCCAGGGGCTCACCCTCCACAACCGCGTCCGCCTGGACCTGGAGTCCTGCCACCTCACGCTGCGCCACCTGTACGTGGGCGCCTCAAGGGCCACGAGCTCCGAGCTGCTGGAGGCGGCAGCACGGCGCCTCCAGGGGCTCCAGCATGAGGTGGCGCACCTCAAAGAGCACGCCCCACTGCCTGCCCATCAGCCACACGTGCCGGGCCTCCACAAGCGCGCGGCCCCTGCGGCGCGCGAACTCCGCGGGACGCGGCACGCGGTTGCCGGCCGGGTCCCAGAAGAGGCAGCGCTCCAAGTCCATCTTGCACTTCACGTGCTTGCCCTTGGCGCTCACCTTGACGGCGCGCTCTCTCTCTGTTATTTGTGAAATCTAAAACCGCTCACAGCGCATCCTCAGAGGTTATCATTCAGCAAATGTGGATTCTGCGAAAATTTGGTGGTTTTGCGCGGTGCAGCCACAGCCCTTCTGCTTGCACTTCTGCAAGGGTTTTCCGCCTGCTTCAATATGCAGGCAAAACGGGTTCTAGTCGCATTCTGTGCGTCTCGGAATTTTAAGTTGCCCGGGCTTAAAGTGCTGTTTCTGGCCTTGTAAGTGCGTTTCTGTTGCGGAGCTTTGTGGCTCGAAAAGCATGATGTGTTTTCTTCCGGAACTTGCGTAACGCAAAAGGACAAATGGGGAAGATCAAGCTTTTCCCCACGCCTAAGTACACCAGCAAGCAAGCCTCGGACCCCGTGGTGCCCCTGGTGCCATGCACGGGCATCTTCCCTGGGCCCAGCAAGTCGGGCAAAACTGTGGCGCTCATCAGTCTCATCCTGGAGCAGTACAAGGGCGTGTTTGAGCGGATCTACGTTTTCAGCCCAAGCGTCAACATCGACGATGGCTGGATCCCCGTCAAGAAGTACATCGAGCAGGACCTGGGGGTGAACACGGAGCGTGAGCAGGCTTACTGGGACGAGTGGGATGAGTCCGCCTTGCGGCGCATCATCCAGCAGCAGCGCAAGATCACGGAAGCGTCCAAGAAGTTGGAAATGAAGAAACTGTACCAGGTGCTTGTAGTCATCGACGAATTTGCTGACACGCCGCAACTCCACAAGCCGCATGGCGCCCTTGACACGCTCTTCATCCGAGGCCGTCACATGCAGATCAGCACCTGGGTGAGCTCGCAGAAGCTGAGGCTCATCAGCGCAGCCGTGCGGGTGAACATGCAATTCCTCTGCTGCTGGAGGCTGCGCAACCAGCACGAGCTGGACGCCGTCATCGAGGAGCTGAGCGCCCTGCTGCCGAACCGGCCCCCTAGTCCGCTAGGCCCCCTAAGTCCCTGGGTGCCCCGGGGCCTCGCTGTTCTCTCGAGGCCGCCGGGGTCAGTTACGGGCGCGCTCGCTTACGTCTGACATCCACGATAAAAAGAACGCAGTTTTAGAAGGGGCAAGAGTCCCGCCCGTGCCGGGGTTCACCTGCAGGTCGCGGACCTCCACCAGGCCGCATTGCTTGCCCTAGTGGCGATGGTAGTCATCTTGACTCTTGCTTGCCGGTCCTTTTTCTATCGGGCGGACAACAAAATGGTCCGACCAAAGGGACGGCCCTCGGCTCACGCGGCTCGAGGGCCGCCATTTCCGGAAAAAAAACACCATTTTGTTTGTTTTTCCGTAAATTCAGCTTTGCGTGGTTTTTGAGCGTGATTTTGCATGACAGGTTGCCTTGCGTTTTTCTCACGATTTTCACGTTGTCGGTCGTGTTTGGAAAGAGCTTCCCCAAGCACGTGAGCCTTGTGAAGGCGAGATTCGGGGACGTTCTGGGGTCGGGCGGCAGGGAACCGCTCGCAGGTGCAAAGGCGTGGTTTCAGACTCACAGTTTTTTCTTGACCTCACGTGCCCTGTGCCCAGACTTCGACGTGCAGATCTTCTCGCAGCGCCGCGCTTTGGAGTTGCCTTTTTGTCACTTTTTGTTGGCCGCTTGCAGGTGGATCCAATTCGTGCTACTGGGGACTCTTTGGCTGGGCACCTGTGCGGATTGGTGTCAACTCGGCCTTTGAGCAGTGTTTCAGGTTTGGTCCTGGATTTGAAGGTCGTGTTTTCGCGCTTCCCCGTGCCAGGCTTTGTTTTGACATCGAGGCATACTGCCCGGACCTTCGTCAATGCCAACTGATCTTTGAGGTTTGGGTCCCAACTCGCCAATCTGTCAGGCCCCCTGATCTTTGGCCTAGCGAGGCCCGGACACACCCCCCGTCCCGTGCCAGGATTTGCGCGACTCGCGTTGCTTTTTTGTGTGCTCTTCCCAACCCCGTCAAGCCGCGCCGTCAGGCCCGTGTATCTTTGGAAATCGTGACCTCGTTGAGCCAGGCCCGCATTTTGTATTGTCTCTCCAACCTGGTGAACCCTTGACCTTGAGAGCGATTGCCCCAACCCCGTCAAGTCGTACTGTCAGGTTTTTTGTAAGTCAGGCAGCGTGGTTTCCTCAAAATCGTTTTTTTTTTTTTCCTGGCGCTCAGGCACTGCGAACTTTTGAGCTTCCGCCCGGGCCCTCGCCGCGTTCCATTGTCATGGCCAAGACGTCCCGTGCAGGTTATTGTCATTTGATCTTTGTCACCAATCTGTCAGCCCCCTTGATCTTTGACCCAGTGAAGCCCTGACGGTCCGTCCCGAGGGTCCCTGCGATCTTTGTGGTTCCTGGGGTCCCTGGGGTCCCTGGGGTCCCTGGGTCCCTGGGCACGCGTGCGTCCGCTGCAGGTGCCATGAAGCAACGTCCTTCCATCAAGACGTCTGGCCAGGGTCCCAAAGTGCATCCATCCTTGTCAACACACGGCGTTTTCAGGGATTTTAGGGATTCCAGAAACCTTTACGGACCCTAGGGGCCTTAGGGACCCTAAGGGACCTTAGGGACCCCAAGGGACCTTAGGGACCCCAGCAACCCTGGGTCTTGGGGGCAAGAGATCCTGTGCATCTCTCAAGCTTCGGTTGGTTGCAGCTTGCCACGCAAGGGGACACAAAGACGCGCGGAAGGGCAAAGCTTCTGTTGTTTTTCCATTCGAGCAACTTTCCATACATCTATTTATCTTCGTGTACTCAAATCTATTTATTTCCATACATTTATATCTTCATATCTCTACGTATTTGTATCTCTTTATGAATTTCATATATTTATATCTTTGTATTTCTACAAATTCATATCTTTATATCTTTGTATCTTTGTATCTTTCTCTTTATATCTTTATATCTTTATGTCTTTGTGCCTTTATGTTGGTATGTCTCTACATGGTGTTTTCTAGTTTGTAGTTGGGAGATGATGTTGTGGTGTTGTGGCCCATTTGCAATGTGTGTGTGTGTGTGTCTTGGCTTCGGCATTTTGTGTTTTTGCATGACCCTATGATGCTGGAGAATGCCCAGGCTGAATGGTACCCGGCGTGAAGTTCTTGCCAAGATCCCTTCAAGCCCCCAAAATCCTTGGGGCCACCAAGGATCTCTTGAAGTCTCTGGGTCGCTGGGTCCCTGAAGTCCTCGGAGTCCCTAGGGTCCCTAGGGTAGGGTTTGCAGGGTTGCTAGGGTCCCTAAAGGTCTCTAAGGTCCCTAAATTCCCTAAAGGTCCCCAAGGTCCCTGAACCCGCCGTGCGTTGACAGGGACGAGCGCACTCTGGGGCCTTGGCGAGACGTCTGATGCACACGTGTGCAGATTCAGGGACTCTAGGGACCCTAGAAACCTTAGGAGGGACCCTAGGGAATGTAGGGACCCTAGGGACCCAGGGACCCCAGAGGCCCCAGTGATCCCAGGGACCAGGGACGCCAGAAACCCCCGCCCTTCAGGCCCTGGCGGCCCGGTGCCGATTTCGGCTGCTTGTTTTGCAGGCAGGCCAGTTTGGTATCTCGCTTGGACTTTGATGCAGCGGCAGGATGTGGGTGAGCCAGTCTGACGGATGGACGCTGCGAAGCCTTGCAAGGCTTGTCCCGACCGACCTTCAGGCCGCGAGTGAAAAGGAGGAGGAGCATCCAAACCCGTGCGTTGGTGTTGCCAAAGAAGCCAGTCAATCTTGTGTTTGCTCTGGAAACTTGGCTCGAGGGTACTCATCAACACTGACACAACAACAGCTCGCAATGGTTGCCCGATGGGTCTAGTGCCAGTGCTTGAGGAATCGCAGGCCGCGCAAGCGCTTTTCGAATAGCCATGGCGATGATGCGGACCAGGACCAAAAGCCGAGGCTGGCAAGCTTGTGACGCTACCGTGCCCGCGGTAGGCAGCGGCCTGGTATGTGCCTCTGCCTTCTCGGGATTGCATTGGCGCTGCTCGTGCAGCCGAGCACGGCCTGGGTCTTGGGACACATTTTTTTCGAAGGTTTTCGGGTTTCAGGAGTCCCTTGTCGCCGCCGCCCAGGACTTTGCTCGAGGAGTTCCTGGGCTCAAGGAGCATGAAGTCCCTCCTTTGGATGTTCTTGTTTCTTGCTGAGTGCCAGGACAGCATGTTGGCCCAGTTCTCAGAGTTGCCCGCGGGCGCAAGCAGATTGCACTTTGGCTCTTTCAGGCAAAACGGCACCCGTTGCATGCCGGAGTCGCTCGGCGCGCCGGGGCGGCGCAAGAGGACTCCTCCGACCCGAAGCCTGTTCGCATCTTTTGCCGGTTGCCGCCAGGACAACAGTGGCCAGGCCTGGGGGACACGTGCATCGGGCTTGAACGTTGGGCTTGTTGGTTGTCAGGACCGGCTCGATCTCGAGGAGGCGGCGGGCCTTCAGAGAAAGCGACGTCCCAGCCTTGTCTCGCTCAGGTGGTCGCAGAAGCCAAACGGGTTGTGGACAACGGCACGCTGAAAGACATGCAAGTGGTCATGCGCCGCTTTAGCAGCACATTGGTTGCAGCAGGCGTGGTGAAATTTTGAGCTCAGGAAAAGTGCAGCTGACAGATCCAGGGAAGTGGAATGATTTGGCGACTAAGCCTGAGTTAAAGCAGCAGCTAAAGAAGTTTGTGGCAGAGGCAGGAGTGTTTGCTTGTTTTACCAACAGGTCAGATTCACAAGCGCTTTCGTGACATTCTGTGTGCTGCATGTTTGTCGAGGCAGCCCTAAAGGCCTTGGAAGAGGCCGTCCGTCCGAGCGCACTGCTGCTCGGCGTGTGAGTCTTGCTGGGCAGGACCTGCTCCTGGCGCGACAGCAGCAAGCGAGCGCCCAGCGGCAGGTTGAGACTGCCCAGCGGCAGGTTGAAAGCGCTCAGCGGCAGGTTGAGAGCGCCCAGCGGCAGGTTGAGAGCGCCCAGGAGCAGGAAGCGATGGCGGTGAGGCGTCTCGCTCGAGCTGCCACCGTCTTGGAGACGGCGGAGGACTCGGGCAATGCGACAAAGGTGCAGGAGGCCAAGGAGGAGGTTCAGGAGGCGAAGAAGGAGGTTCAGGAGGCGAAGAAGGAGGTTCAGGAGGCGAAGAAGGAGGTCCAGGAAGCGAAGAAGGAGGTGCAGGAGGCGGAGGTCAAGGAGGCGAAGGCAAGCGGCCGGACGAAGGAGTCCGAGGCGGGCGGAGTCGGTCGCTTCCGCCGGCCGGCTGCGTTCTGGGACTCTGATCGTTGCGTGCGGTTCTGAAATTCCCCGGCGGCCCGCACATGGTTTTGGTGGGGCTGCCCTGATCGCATCCAGAGAACCAGGAAATCCCAAGATAGCATTTTTGCAGATTGCGGCGGTTCGTGTCGTTGGCAGGCTCGGTAGGGACCCCCCATGAACGGATGGTTGCCTTTCCTTGTTGGAGGTCGGTCATTCCTGCTGGTCGACATTGATTGAGACGTGCCGTTGATCGTTGTGAGTGATTTTGTGCTTGCCCCCAGCCTGCTTTTGAAAGAGCAAGACCTGCCCGTCTGCCGGGGAGAGGGAGGGCAAACTCTGATGTCTTTGCACCCATTGGGGTCCTTGCTGCTGCAGGCACAAGTGCATTCTATGAATGTTCTCTTTGATCTCCCTGGCGGTGTTCTTGCCCATGTTTTGCCCGTTTTGCTGCCATTCCATCCCGTTCTGTTGTTCATTTTTCTCCGTACCTGTTCATATCTGCCTGATTTGGTGTGAGTGTTTAGCGCAAAACTATCAAACAGTCGAGGGGGAACCCGCAAATATTGAAGAGCCTGCTGTTCCAGTCGCCTGCCTTTTGAAGAGCAAGACCTACCCTTCTGCCATGGTCGTTGCTGCTGCAGACACAATGCAATCCGAAGGTTAAATTTTGTTCCGACAGCACGAGCATGGAGAGATTGCTAAAGTGTGCACAATGTATTTCTGCTGCCGGGTGACGTTGAGACGTGCCGTCTGCCTTTTTGTGTGGTTTTGATTTCCCCGCGGAAATGCTTTCAGTGGGGCTGCCCTGATCACATCCACAACCTGAACGGGGTTCCTGGGAACTCAGTGGTTTTGCTCAGCGTGGAGCCCCACAAAAGGATTGTTGAGCTGAACCACGCATCTCCCGCTTTGCTTTCATGGGCAGTGTTCCTGCTGGAAATTTGGTTTTGTTTCGGTTTTGGTACCCGTGTGTTCCTCGCTTTCCTAGTGCTCGGCTTTCGCACTAAGTACCCATGCTTCTTTGTGGAGTGTTGTGAATGGTTAGCGTTTTGCAATACATGAATCAGTGGGAAGGAACCTGCTAGTCATCGATTTTCTCACCAATTGCCGATGCGTGTTTGGTTTGTTGCGATTGTTTGTCCTTCCCAGCATTCCCTCATGCATAGCCACCTCAAATTTGGGCACCTTCCGCGCAGGTTGAGCTCCCTCGTTTTAACGCCGCAGATCTCTCGGACTTGGAAGACCGCTTTTTGAACCGCCGAATCAACAACAAGAATGAGAGGCCTTTTGAGGAAAGAGAGGCGGTTGTTGAGAGTGTTGTGGAGCAAATGGAGGAGATCCAAAGGAAACAGACCAACAAGCCGACGGTCTTGGCCTTGTACAGCCCGCGGGGCACCGGCAAGACATCGCTCATTCGTCATTTGGCGAAGGTCTCAAACTTTTCCGAAAGTCGACGGTGCGGGCGGCTCTTGGTATTTGATGCGTTGACGATTCCGCCAACGCTGCTGCGCAAAGATCCTGACTTGCTGGTTTCTGCCATCATCTTGTGGCACCTTTGCCAGATCTTCGATGGCTACTCTGTGGAGGTGAGCCAAGGGCCACCCATTGGTTTCCAGACGACGAGGTTCAGCGATTTGGTCAACATATTGGAATCCAGCCGATCATCGCCAGCTGTCAACAGCTTTGAGGCTTGGGTTCGCTTACGTTGCAGAATCAAGGAAGCTGTTTTCGAGCAGTGGCTTCTGGTGACGGCTGCAGCCTTCAATGCAACACCAGCCTGCCCTTGCTTACTGTTCCTCGATCAGGCAGAGCTGCTTGTGAACAGAAAGGTCGATGAACTGAGCCAACATCGTGGACAGAAATCGGTCTTCACCCAAATATTGAGCGGATTCCCGCAGGGGCTTGGCATGTTTTCCGCAGGCACAGTCAATATCCTGCAAGATAGGCCATCCGACGAGTACACCATGCTGAAGGTCCAGAAAGCTCCAGCTCTAGAGCCATTGTCACTGCAAGCTGCCAGACGAGCCATGAAAGGCTGGAGGGGTACGCAGTACCAGGAGGAGGAATTCAACAAAATTTTCCTCTTCTCTGCCGGGGTACCCCGGCTTTTGGAGGCGGCTTTCCAGACCAGGGGTGAGTTGGCATCAACTGCTCAGGTTGCACTCAACGCCATGTCGAATGAGTTCGAAAGCTCGTACGCGGATGCAGCGCCTTATTTCGCTGAGCCCAAAGTGGCTTTGTCGTTGGTTCTTTGCTCGGCGGTTCGATGGCCTGCAGAAGGCAACCAGTTTGTGCCCGGAACCTCACTAAGGTGGTCAGACATCTTCAGGGCAGGAGCAGCGTTTCCAAAGAACAAGTCCGTTCTGGTTCCACGGCTGTGGTGGTGTAAGGATACCAATGTCAAAGATGCCCTCCAAAACGACTTGAAACAGCGGAACATTTCGTTGGAAGGGCTCCTGCCAGATTTGCTGAATTACTTGATAGGGCAGAAAAGGGGCGCCACTGAAAGGGGGCGCCCTTGGGAAGAGCTGGTGGCCAATTCCCTGGCTGCGCGCTTCCACCTTCACTGCATAGCAAGAAATCTGAGTGCTAACGTCACCTGGATCCCGTTTTTGGAGATCTACCCTACGGAGGATCTGCACTTGCGAGCTGTTTTGGAGCCGTTCGAAGTTTGCTGGAGTGATGGTGTGGAATACCCGACGGACAATGAAGCTAGTGTCGAAAGCAAGGTCGGGAAGGCCATCAAGTCCAACCGGAATATCAAGAATGCTCACCACGACCTTTTGATCCCTGTGAAGCGGAAGGCGACTCCTATGCTCGAATTCATTGCAGTGCAATGCTGCTATGGGTTGCTGAAGACCGCAAGTCAGCTGTCCAAATCATGCCAGGACAAGACTAGGAAGCCTCGGAAGGGCAGGAAGGGAGCGCAGGGCAGGACGCCTCAAAAGGAGGAGCACAGAGACGACCTTGCAGACATGGCAAATGCGTTGCTCCAGATTTGCAGCACATGTGAAGACGGCAGACAAAAATTTCAGGACGGCTCTTCCTGGGCCAAACGCCAACAGGAGAAGAGATACTCTCTCATGAGTTGTAGGTGTATAATCCCAGAGATGGACGTGTTGCAGCTGCTGTGAGTGCAAAAGCGCGCAAGAGAGAGCAAAGAAAGGGAAGAGAAGGGAAGGGAAGATTCTTTCCTGTAAACAAGCCTGCTAGTTTCACTCATACTAGACGGATATGTGATCAAGTATGTGTTTCCATGCCTTGAAGACGCTTCAACATGCAGCAACTCGAAGAGGGCCAGCTGTGCTATGTTCTTGGTAATAGTAATTGCTGACGTTTATTTTGATGCAGCGCTTCTCGGATGATTTGAACAGATTTTTTTGCCACAAGTGCCTCTCAAGAAACGTGGCTCAAATTGCGATTGCAGCAGGTGGTTTTTGCCAGTCGCAATGACGCGATCGGGGAAGGGATATTGTGTTGTTGCGCGGTGACGACAACAAACGCGTTGTGAGGTTCTTGCTGGGGGTTAGCTTCGCCATGTTTGTGGCACAACCCCTTCTTGTGAGGAAGTGCAACGGGACACAACTTTCCAACGTTTTGTCCCAAAATGTGGAACAACAAGCAAAAACACACTTGAGGGCAAGCCCTGTTCAATGAAAGCGCAAGGAACCGCCTTTGTAGCGCCCAACAAGCCGAAGAAGCCGTCCTTGCTATGTTGTTGCATTGGTTGGTTCTTTGCGTATTTGCGGGTTGTTTGGCTGCTCAAGAGAAAGATTAGGGAGAGGAAAACCTTTTGCAGATGGTGTCGTGCTGGATTGTTTCCATGGTTCCCGGCTCCTGTAGTTTGAGCTGGCTGTAGGATTGTTGCAGAAGGATGAGCTCATGTGATCGCCAGTGCTGGTGCGTTGGGGTATTTTGACCAACAGGGCAACTCAGTACACAAGTCACTGCAGCTTCTCTTGCTTCCAGCAAACGGCCCAGCAGAAAAGGCACACTTGCCGTGCGCAAATGAGATCGCCCCGCGGAGCTGGCCCCATTGTTTCTTCTTGTCAATGCCCCCTCTCCGGCAGTGGCTTTCCAGCCCACTTTTGCTTTTGGTCTTGTCACTGAGAAGGTGAGCAGGTCGTCACTGCCAAGGACTTCAATCTCGCTGCTTGCTTGCGACCTTCAGATGGTGACCGACCCAAAAGGTTCCTAGAGCTGGACTCTTGCGTTGATGACTGCATGCAGGCAGTCCAGGACAATCTGCCACTGGTCACAAAGAGTACGAAGCCGCGAGTGCCTCCTGCCATGCTCTCCCGCTTCATGCGCGGCGGCAAGACAACAATGCTTTGCAAGGTCTTTGACAGGCTGAAGAAGGAGGAGAAACTCCCCATTTTCATCAGCTTCAACGGGGATTCGCTCGTCTCCAAGCTCGATGGCGAAAAGGTACTGGACACTATGCTGAGGGCCATTGCTGTGAGTCTAATGAAGAACAAGCCCGCAGACAAGAAAGATGCACAGCGGGTGCGCTGCAGCGAGAAAGCCTTGAAGGCATATCTGGCGGACAAGCAGGACGTCGTCCTCGTCGTGGATGAGCTGAACGTCTTGCTCAAAGCCAATCCAACCGATGGCCACCAAGATGTGGGGAGATTCCTGCGAGAGATGTTCCTTGACCCTGCAGGACGACACCTCGTGTTCAGCACCCACATCCCCACCAGCGCTGGCCTCGATCAAGTCTTGGGCAAGGGCGAAGGAAGCTCTCGTACCGCGATCCCCATAAAAATGCCCAGGTGCGCTGAGGTGCAGAGGCTGAGAGGCATGCACCCGAACTGCGCGGCCTTGACGCCGTTGGAGGCCGTCTATTTCGGCTACATCCCGTCCCTGAACTACTCGGTCAAGACGGGGGACTTGGACCTGAAGGAGCGGTTCCGGGAGATCATACCTGCTGCAGAGTCGGAGCTCCCAATCCTGGCAAAGTCTTTCCTGTCAGAGTCTTTCCTGTCAGAGTTCTTCACTGGCGAGCGGGGTCCAGACCACGATCCAGTGCGAGCCTTCGATGCCCTCACTGAATCCACCAAAAAGGGGCAGATCCGGTGGATTCTTGCCTATGTGGGACAGATGTGCTGCCACCTGGGTTGGAAACAGGTTGGTGCATGGATCGAGGAGCTCCCGAGCTGGTCGGGAAAGGTTGAGAGCGGCCAAGACTGGGAGACCGTGTTGCTGGTCGCTCCGTGCCTTCGATGCTATGAGGCCAAGTACAGCGAGCCCCACGAGCTGCTGGGACTGGCAAAAGGGGCTCTACGGCCCGCTGCGGTGTATGTGGAGAAGGTGCCGCAGGAAAATTCTACCAACCAAGAAGTCATACTGGCCTGGTGGAAGGGGCAGCCGATCGACACATACCCCTACATAGCGGTGCTGTCGCCCACTTTTTCTAAAACGGAAATCGTGGACGCCATGTGGGTGTATCAAAAGGATGCAACGGCCAGTTGCCTGGTGAGGGGCATGCAAGCCAAACTAGGCAGCGCCTACCCGAAGCAGGATATGCCCCTTGGCATGCTGGGGTTGCTGTTCCGTGGCCAGGCACCGGACACCACCCGTAACTTGGAAAGGCAGCGGTGGAAGTATCTAACTGCGAGCGAGATTCAGAGTTTTCTGGGCAAATCTTTGACGGCTGCTTGTCCCGCTCACTGGCCCAACGTGAAACCATGAGCCCTGACAGCGTTGTGTCTTCCTTGTCTCAGAGCTTTTTGGTACAGCGTATTCAGTTTCGTGGCAAAGCAGATTGAAGCCAGAGATGTAATCACAGACAAAAGCTTGTCAGACCGCGTGCGTGCCACTGGCAAGCCTGGAGTGAGTGTCATGGGAATGTGGGAGACGTTTTTTCCTTTTGGTATCCTTTTACAACCAACCAGAAACGGCATCTCCAATTTTGAGACAAACCCACATCCAAGTTCTCGGGTCATTTGTTGATCATGGTGAGCAATATTTTTTCCAATTAGCATATTGGCCCCAAGTTGGTACAGTGACAATTAGCCGGCCAGATCAGGGCCTTGGGCATCGTTGATTACACTTGCAGACTCCACCAGCTGAATTGGGGCTAACATGCAGTTTTATTTTCAGGAAATGTTACACACTAAACACCGCCTGATTCCCAGTTGTTCAGTGGCCCTTCAAAAAAACGATTCCGTATTTTTGAATTGGTGTACATGTTGAAAGGGAAGCAGCCGTAGAAGTACCACTAGACAACTGGAGATTTGTTCGCCAAGATCGCAGAACCAACAGTGTGGTCTTTTCAAAGGGCTGTGCGATTCGGTTCTGGACCCACCAAATAATTGGCCATCCGTGCCCTGATAGTGCCAGAACTTGGGCGGGCCGAGCCAGCCAAAGAGGCTTTGTCCAGCTAGACGCGACCAGCAAATGGGAACATTTTGTCATAGTAGTTAGAGTGGTCCTTGCCCGCGTGTGCATTTAATTTTTGTCCTTCAGTGGCTTGGTCTGTTAACAAACATTCGCAATCGCTGTTGCTCGTTACGAGTTTGACTTTGATCGAGCCCCTCCAACCTTTGTTTTGATCGTCCAACGTCCAGTCTCAGGGGGGGGTGGCAGTAGGGTCTCCTGGCCCTCGGTGCTCCGGACGGTCATTGAGTCCACGGCCCGCAGTTGCTGCATGTCGCTCTACTGTGGGTTGAAGCTCCTTGCCGCGTTCGTTGGTGCTCGGAAAGCCCCTGCGTCCTCCACGGCCTTGATGCGCCGGTCCGTGAGGTCCTTGTTGTGCTGGAACTTGTCGGCGTTCCTGTAGAAGCCGGAGCTCGGTGGCCAGCTGCTTCTCCACATTTTCGGGGGTGCCGTATACCGTCTCGTGTGGCCGGGCGTTGCAGGCCCCCGCGGCTCGCTCAGAGTGGTCGCTCCACTACCCGCGCTTGCGGGCCACGCGCGTGGCCTGGATGCCCCGGTCCACAATGGCCGTACGTTGCGATCGGCGTGGCGAAGTTGCTGCCCAGGTCGTTCGTGACCACGAAGTTCTTGTCATCCCCCACCAGCTCCTGCGTGGCCCGCTTGGTGGCCTGGCCGACCGTCTTGGCGTTCTTGTTGAGCACCGCCTCCACAGCAGCCTCCCGGACACAGACGTCCATGACCACCAGGCGTACCTGGTCTTCCCTCGGGTGTTCTGGCTGAAGTCGAGCCGTGCTCCACACTCCCTGCGCGGCCGTGCCGAGGAAGGTGCCGGTGACGCCCACGTAGTCGTTGTCGGCCGCACTGACGTACATCACCAGGTTGGAGGCCGTGCCCAGCCGGTACTGGCAGCCAAAGGAGAAGCGCCTCCCGGGCGTCAGAATGCAGGTGCGCACGATGTTCCAGGCTAAGGCCTCCAGCTCGAAGCCGCCCGCCGTGAAGCTGGCCGAGGTTACTGGCTGTTGGAGCGCACCAGGAAGTTGCCCAGCGTGGTCAGGGTGGGCTCCAACAGCACCTCACCCAGGGTGGCCAGCGTGACGTCGTCGGCCCCACCGTCGAGAAACTCGTGCTTGAGCAGCAGGGCCAAGGCTGTCGTGTCCGCCTCGACCTCCGTCGAGTTGCCGGCCTCCAGGGTGGCGTCCAGGATCTGGAGGCCGTAGACGTCCACCGTTCCTGCCGTCTGGTTGGCCAGGAATGCAGCTTTGCGACCCCGTTCAGCGGCACGGTGAAGTACATCTTGGCCGTGCTCCAGGCGCCCTGGTCACCCACGAAGCTGCCGTACAGGGGGTCGTAGACGTTGTCGGCCTCGGACATGTACGAAGTTGGAGGCCGTGCCAAGCCGATACTGGCAGGCGAAGAGGAGCTCTTGGCCGGGCGTCAGGTTGTAGGTGCGCACGATGTTCCACGGATTCACTGCCAGGGTCAGGGTGAGCCGTCCACGCTCACTGCGCCCACGGTGTGCGTGGCCAGGACCACGCTGCACCCGCTCCTGGAGGCGCGATTGCCAGCGCCAGTGCGCTGCTGTCCAGCTTCGAAGCCAGCTCTGCAGTGACCCGGTCGTCCAGGGACTGGATGGCAGCTGCGTTGTTGCCGGACGCTGCCGTGTTCACCGCCAGGTCCGTTACTTGCGCGTAGGGCGTCAGAGCCAGGGCCAGCTGCCCTGCGGTGACGTGCGTGCCGTCAGTTACCTCTCCGTTGTCCAGGACCTCCGGGATGTTGCCCGTGACAGGTCCTTCAAACATGTTTTCTTAGGAGTAGGTCATAATTCATAA